TATCTAGTAGTTGACCTCGAGGCCTCAACGCACAGGGTTTTCGTCTCCCTGTAAGAAAATCTGTTTTCCATGTCAGCTACCTTCCTTTTATCCCAATTTCAGAAAGTTTGGAGATTAGGCGTTTGTGTGGGACGCTGTCGAACGTCTTCTTGAAGTCAGTGTCGATGACATCGACCCTACCATCCTCGTCCAGTGCGCAAGTTTACTGCTCCGTCGAGAGCAATAAACTGGAAAGGTACGAGCTGTTATGTCTGAACCCGTGATGCAGGTCTGAATGTTAGTGGTTCTGCTCCAGGAACTTCATTATTACTTTCCTAATATGGCCTCCATTATTTTAGAGCAGATGCAGGTGAGACTTACAGGCCGGTAATTGTAGGCATAATTGCGAGCTCCGCATTGTATATCGGAAATATATTTGCTGTCTTCCATTCCGATGGCAGCCTCCCTTATTCGAATGACGAACGGAAGATTTGTGCCAGTGGCTTGGAGAGTTCGTTCGCCAATTCTTTCAAGAATTTGGCTGGTATGCTGTCCGGACCCGAGGACTTTGCTTCTTTAAGATTTAGCAGCTCCCCTTCTACGACAGCTGTCGGGAAGAGTATGGAGTCAAGCACGGGACCAGCGGTCTCAACAGCATTTCTGGCATTGCGACTACGAAACTCTGTTTCCCTAGTAAAAACCGAGGCAAAACACCGTCCTAAGTGTTCCGCTTCTCCGCTGTCCTCGATGCTTTCTACACCATAAGCGTACTTCAGCACTGTGACCGGGTCCTTGTTGTTCAGCCCACTGTTAAGACGGTGAAATAAGATCTTGGGCCCCGGTTCAGCCTGTCGGATAATTTTGGACTCAGACCCCTTCCGTTTCTGAGGGATACATTTTTGAGTGCATTTCATTGACGACGAAATTCTTAGAAATGCGCTAGTGACACAGTTTGCCTAAATATTTTCCATCTTTTGTCTTTGTTTCATGGCTGCCTATTTAGGTCCCTAGTTAACCAAGCAGGTCGACTAGTTGCATTTTGTACTTAAGGTAGAAAACAGCGCCGAATGAGATCGAGTGAAATCGTCTTAAAAGATCTCCAGTCGTCCTCCGGATTTCCCCTGAGGAGTTGATCCCAGTTCACGGACGTCAATTTGTCCTTCATCGCGTTAAAATCCGCCTTCCGAACATTAAGTTGGCCTTCTGTCCTCTTCTGGAGTTGAGAGGAGAGCGAGCAATCCGATAGTAGCGTAGTATGGTCACTTTTCCCGAGAGGTGCATTGGAATACATTTCGTCGATATTAGAGAAGTCTTTAGTGAAAACTCGGTCTAGACAATTCGCTCTCTGGTTATCTCGAAATATTGTTGGTACCTTCACATGTTGCGCCAGAGGGAGATGGAGTGTGAGGTCCGTTAGCTTATTGCTGAGGGAAAATGGCCTAGTGCTGACTACCATATTTTCCCACTATATTGCAGGTGCATTGAAATCCCCATCAGTAAGAACCTCTTGATGTCTAGATACGTCCTTGACTAAATGAATGAGCGATTCACCAGCTGCACTCGGAAGGTTTGGTGGTTTGTAAATCGCCAGGAAATCAAGGTTTTGTGCACTACTCTTCTTTACCTTCATCTCAGCATCCGCGATTTCGGCATTAAGCCAGGTTTCCGTTATGACGATGACGTCGAGGATTCGTTCTGAAACTAGCGCTTTGAGTTCGTGGATCTTTGAAACGAGACTTTGAACATTTTCATACAAAGATCTCAATTTGGCACGAGCTATTCCTGCATACAGGCGCTGATCAATTTCATGGGATTAAATGCAAAAGCCGGTTGGAGCTAATCGGGATGAACTCCTTTCCATCGCTCCTAAGCTGTTAGGGTTATGGGCTTTCTCCAGAGGAATGCTCTCTGGACGCGTTTAATTTTCGCGTCCCGTATTCTCAGATTTTTCTCGTTCAGATCCGACCGCCTGAGGAGTTGAAATTTAAACCCCCTCCACATTTCTCTCTCCGCTGGTAAAACGTCTCGCTGAAAAACTGATGGATGGGAATTTTGGAGCCCAGATTTCCTGCTCAATAATAGCTGCGCTTGTTCGTCATTCTCGAAGACAATTTTTAATGGTCTCGGTCGGGCTGATTCATGTCTCGAGTCTTTTATTTGGTCCATCATGAAAGCCTTTAATACGGCGACTTTCTTGTTTTCTCTTAAGACCGATTTGAGATATTCCTGGAATATTTTGAGTGTCGAAAACAGACTCAGGCATGCCCTTTATGTCAATGCATTTACTGAAATCAACCAGAAGGCCTTGTGGTTCGGTCATACCTGCACAGACTGCATCACGGATATCCCGACTGCCGCCATTCACCAACTTAAGGAGGTACGATTCGGTAGGACTAAGGCATGACTGCCTGTTTACTACGATTTTTTGGTCATTTATCATTTTCAGCGGCACGATTTTCGTTTGCGGTGTAGCTATTTCTTGCTCCCTTGTATGACTCTCTGTGCCTCTTCGAGATGCTCTGAGATGCTCGAGATGCTTTTGTGACCGCGTCTTTTGAATTCGGTTGAAATTTTCGACCTCCGAGGGATTTAACTTTTTCGAGTCTCCTGAGTCCTGGACACCCTGACGGCCTCTCGGAATTTACAAGTCGATTCTTCATAGCAATATCTCGATTCTCACAGAATTTCAACGGGAGTCTCTTTCGGAAAACCTATCTCCTTCCGACCACACCAGGACTTGTGAGGGATAACCTATCTTCGTCCAGTCGCCCCTCTGGAACAGCACGGAGCAATCCCCAAAACCTACGAAAGGCTGAGTCGTTTACCTCATATCCTCGATCTGGTTGAAAATTCGTGTCATACCTTTAAGAAAACCGTTTGAAACTTGTAAACTCGGTAGTGTTATTCAGAGAAATGCCCTTAAAACACGGTG